AACCAAAATATTGTAGGTTCAAATCTAGACCCCACATGTTGTTATACTAAAAGAAATATTGCGAGATGATTTATGCTAATTAAGAGAATATAGAAAATACAGTATTGTCTAGTTTGTATTTTCTTATATTGCTTCATTAAAAATAACACAGCTTGTTATACCAACTCCATTAAAAATAACAGGTTAAAAAGGTTACACATGATATTTATAAACCATATATATATATATATGCATGAATGTATTTGAGATGAGTTGATCCTAATTGAGAAGAAAATATGAGAAATGCAGTATATATAGATATACAACTTTAAAACATTCAGAAATTAAATCTTTGCATGGATATTTTACCTAAATGACCCTCCTAAGAGAGAAGTGGTGTACAGCATAAGTTGTGAATCCAATTTAATTTCCATATACAAACTCAGCTCAAAATGGTTTATCATTGAGAAAAGAGAGATTATATTGTGTCTAAACTGACCAAACTCCAAGAAATTAGGAAAATGAAGGCTCTAACCAGCTTCTGTTTTATCTTATTGCTTGCTTTGGAATTGAGCTTTATTATTAACACATGTTTTGCAGCATCCAAAAGACAGTTTCCAGGATCCCATTGGCAAGTGACCATTTTGAACTATCAAACGAACTCGACTCTGTTCGTTCACTGCAAGTCCAAAGACAATGATCTAGGCAACCACGTCCTCGACATCAAAGGAAATTTCTACTGGGGGTTCAAAGAAAACTTTTGGCAAACGAGGTTGTATTGGTGCCACTTTCGCAGCTGGAATGGGCATGCTTCATTCCAGGTTTTCTGGCCAGAGAAAACAACTTGGCTTGCAGATCGATGCGCCGATAGAAACTGCATCTGGGCTGCTGGAAACGATGGATTTTACATAGATAATATTCCTGCAAAAAAATTTGAGTTTATACACCCTTGGGAACCTATTGTTTAGAAATGAAAAATACTTAGATGCTTATCGATCACACCACCATTAAATATTTAACAAGTACGAGAGAAAAATGTAGAAAAAGAGATATTTTTGATGAGTGTCTCATTTGTTCCCTGGAAATCCCTCGTACTCTCACCTTTGCTCATTCAAAAACCTCAATTTTCTTGAGTGTTTGTTTATTTACACATGTAACTCAATAACTAGAGAGTTGTGATTTCTCTTTTGGGACAAAAATAAGATATTGTTGTGGGTTATTTTATTAGTCTAATAAAAATGGGAGGATTGTTTTGGTTGTAGAATCTCTGTTCTAACTTCTAAGTGGGAGCAGGAAAGAAATAAAAAACAATAATTATAATTAGAAATTTGATAAAAGGAGAGAGTTTACTCTATCCACACTGTACTTTATTTTTTTTTGGATAAAATAGACTTGCATTGATAAATAGTACGTGAGAAAACATACAAGGGAAGCAATATAAGAAAAAACTCCAAAATTCAAAGAAATCAAGGAGCAATATCATCATAATTACAAATAAGATGGTTATATAAGATTGAACCGAAACGTTTATGTTCCTCCACAGTAGTTATCTTGAACTAAGCGAAATATAGGGTAAAAATTTGAACCATCGACTTAAACGAAAGCTACCACTAACATCTCAATTTTAGAGCCATGTTGAAATTAGCTTATTCCGATTTTTTCATTCTTCTCTTAATTACCAATCAAACATGGAAAACAGATTAGTAAATATGGCAATGTGTGAATTATCAGTTAACAAAACGATCAATGCTCTATTAACCCAGATATAAAAAAATAAGCTGTTAACATACCTCTCTACATAGAAAACACAGCCCTTAGACCATCTCACATGCATGCACGTAAGAAATAAAGGAAAAAAAACCCCATTAAACTTCCAAAATAGACCCTCATTTTTTGGTTATAAATTATAAATTACAGCAAAAGGGAAATTAAAGAGAAATGAATTCATCAAGTCATAATTTGTTGTTGGTAATTAGTTTGGTGATTGTTCTAGGATTAAGCAGCTGTGTGAAGCCAAGTTATGGAGGTTCAAAATACACGTTTCCGTTCAGCAAATGGAGGGTGACGATCATAAACAATCAAAGCTGTGCGTTCATTGTAAGTCGAAAGACGATGATCTGAACATGCACGTCTTCGAAGTTGGAGGGCAATATTCTTGGAGTTTCAGAGAAAATATATGGCATAGCACTCTTTATTGGTGTAATTTTGGTAATAGTAAGGGTTTTCATGCTGAGTTTGAAGTGTATTGGCATGAGAAATTTCCTTGGCTCAGAGATAGATGTGATTATTCCAACTGCATTTTGAGCTGCCACAGATGAAGGATTTTCCTTGAAAAATATCCCTCAAGATACCTTTGAGCCTTTGCATCAGTGGGTGCCTAAAGCATAGTATTATCTGAGCTATTGTTTTCTTGTGTGATTCCAGTTCAAAACACAAATCATTTGTTGTAATAATTGTCTTATTTCTCCATAATAATAAATGGAATATGTAATTGGTACGTTGATAATTGGTATTTTGTTTTTCGTAAGAGTATGTAATAGGGAGATTTGAACCTCCGACTCTAAATGAAGGAGTTGCTATGTTTCAATTGGTGGTGTTGTCGTGTTAAGTTGAATATATAGGTATTTTATCCTTTTGTCCCAGGTGGATTTTTAAGTAGTGAATGTACAACCCTAATTAGAGACATCATTTCGACTTTTATTTTTCTTAATTTTTTCCTTTTTTGTTGATTTTTTTGCTTATTATTTGCCCTCCTATGTCTTTCCCCAAAATGATTTAAGATTTGTTAAGTCACTTTTAAAAATCTAAAGCTAGTTTTTATTGAAAAAACTTTGAAGTTTAAAATGACAAATTGATTATCAAGAATAATTGAATAAAAGAAATCAGATTTATTTTAGAATTAGAAAAGATAAGAAAAAATAATATCTAACAATATAAACAAAATCTTTTTTTTCAAAAAAAAGGACTTAAAAAGTAGGGAGAATGAGAACCCATCTAAACGTTGAGACATTTTTAGTCATGAAGAAGTTTATGAAATGGTTCAAAATCTCTAAGATGTTTTGACCGTCAATTATGATGGGATTGTTTAATTATTGCTGAGAGCAATGATTAATTTGGCAAGATATATTAATTTAATGTTATATTTATGTTGAGTGGACTATCTTCTTCTTTCAATCCCTTCCTTTCTCGTTCTTCTCCTTATGTTAGATATTCAATATATGAATTAAAGTTATCATACTCATCAGCTTAAGTTTTTGGGTTGAATAGTAGTTTATTTATCCTTGACATGACATGGTACGAAAACGAAACGTCGTGTGTTCGAACCCTTGTTGTTTACTCCCCAACTCCCTCCTCCAGATTGAAAATGGAGGGAGGATGGCAGGCGATTGACGATCATGTATTTTGCCAATGGATGTCTACCCAAAACTCATAAACTAATAAATAAATAAGAGGTCGAAAGCACGGAGAAAAGAAATTTAAGGAAAAAGAAAAAGTTAACAATAGATATACTCATTTAAAATAAACCATTTCAAAAAATGCCAAACAACTTTCAGTTTTGAAAAAATGGCCAACATAAGAAAATTTCTACTTTGGTACGAAATTAGCCTTATCATACCTATATTTTTTTCTTCAAATATTTTGAGAATTTTACCCGTATTTTTTAATTCAAATTTTTTTACAAAAGAATTTTACTAACAAACCTAAAAGAAAAAATATTAATTAAATTAAAATCTAAAACAAAATTTTAACAAAAAAAAAATCATTTTAGAAATAGAAATGTCAAAATTTAAACATGAAAATCACTTTAGAAACAGAAATACCAATACCAAAGATGGAAACAAATATAATAACAAACATGATGAACAAATACGAAAAAATACGGTGAACAAATGAACAAATATAGTGAACATATCAAGATGAATAGATGAACAAACACATGAACATTAAGATGAACACATAATATTTATTTTCGTTATACAATTAATACAAAAAATATAAATAAATAAAAAATTCTACCTTTGAACTCATATTGTTGGCCTCTCTCTTCTTTACCGTTCGCCACTCCCCACCCCACTTACAACTTTGTCACCCACCTTGTTGCTCCATCCTTATATCCCTTGCTCAATTTCATCAATCCCTCGCCCCACCTACACCTGTGTCACCCACCTTGCTGCTCTACAATTGTCCCGTTGCGATCAATTCTATCCATTCCCCGTCTTGTTGTCACCATTGGTCAATTCTTGTCCATTCCCATTCATTCCTGCTGTCTCTCTCGCGATACCCCTTAATTGTGTCTCACTTTATGTACTATCTTCCTTGAGTTATTTTATGTTAAAATTTATAAGAGAAAATGTAGGAAGAAAGAGATAATATAACACAAGAACCAACTTGAGACTGAGAGAGTATAATTTTGATTTTGAAAATAATAATCAAATAAAAAGGGTAAAATGGTCAAAATCAAACTTGTAAAACGGAAAAATCGGAATGGATAATTTTTATTAACAAAAATCATCTAGCCATTTTTTAAAACCAAGTGACAAATAGGACACCTGCTATGAATTCTAAAAAAAAAACATTCGATTTTATACATTGCAAACTCAATTTGAGATATTCAGGTAAAGGCCCAAGCCCATACCAACATGGTCCTCCTTGTTACTCTAGACAGGACCTAGATGAGTTCAATTACAAGCCCAATTTAAGGGGAGAGTTATTAAAGCCCAAAGGTGGGGTGTTCGATACTAATTTAGTCATCTTTTCCGATTTAGACAGAGCCCAAATGAGTTCAAATGCAAGCCCACGAGCCCATACTTTGTTCCGATTACTGTAAACAAGGCCCATGATGATTTCAATCACAAGCCCGATTTGAGGTGAAATGTTAGGTGACACCGTGACAAGGCCCAAATGAGCTCAATTTCAAGCCCAATTCGATGTGAGATATTTAGGTAAAGGCCCAAGCCCATATCAATCGGTACAACAGTGATTGATTCTTTTCTTGTTCAATGGGTCACCGTGACTGAATATTAGCCTCAATCGGAGGCCATCCCTCATAATCTCTCTCCCTTTCTCTCTCTAGGATTGTAAGAATGGGTCAGGGAACTCCAGGTGGTCTGAACCGGCAATCCCCCGGCGACCGGAAGTCCGACGGCGACAAAAAGAAAGACAAGAAGTATGAACCAGCGGCACCGCCGACCCGAGTTGGCCGGAAACAGCGGAAGCAGAAAGGTCCGGAGGCGGCGGCTCGGCTGCCCACAGTGACGCCTCTCACAAAGTGCAGGCTGAGGCTTCTGAAGTTGGAGCGCGTCAAGGATTACCTGTTAATGGAGGAGGAATTCGTCACTAATCAGGAGCGCCTTAAGCCGCAGGAGGAGAAGGCGGAGGAAGACCGCTCCAAGGTCGATGATCTGCGAGGATCTCCCATGAGCGTTGGGAATTTGGAGGAGTTGATTGATGAGAATCACGCGATCGTTTCATCTTCAGTTGGACCGGAGTATTACGTTGGTATTATGTCTTTTGTTGATAAAGACCAGCTAGAGCCTGGGTGTGCAATTTTGATGCATAATAAGGTATAGGGTTTTCTTTTCTTTAAATATTTTGTTGAATTTCCTCTTTCTAACTTCTTCTTGGCGTTCGATTTTGTGTCTTGGCCTTATGATTCTGTTAGTTGAAGACTTGGGTAGTTTTCGATTGCAATTTTGGGACTTACTCCTTGTTTGGATGGGGGAAATAATGTGGTCTGGTAGACATTTTAATTTCTTAGATTTGTCCTTCAAGAAGAGGAAGTGGGAACGGCTTCAAATATAGATGACATCCCAAGGCTAGTAATCAGGATTCAGTTCATATAATACTTCATTACACCTCTCTGTGATTCGTGTATTACTACTAAGCAAAGTGTTGTGAAATTTAATTTTGCTGGATATCACGACTGGCAAATTGAAACTTTTAGTACATAATTTGTCAAGGGAACTTATGTTCTGGTCTTAATCATTTCCACTTTTCTGTATAATTCTGATATTGTTAAGCACTTGTGTGAACTGTAAAGCTTATCTTTGAAGTGTTGTAGTCAGATGTGTGATGGAAACAGAATAGTTCATTGGCTTTTGATACGATATTATGCACATGTTTCTTAGTTTGTTATATTGGACTATAATGAAGGCATTCGTTGATCATTTTGCCTATTGTCGGCGGTTACTTTCAGGTACTCTCTGTAGTTGGACTTCTCCAAGATGAGGTTGATCCAATGGTGTCTGTGATGAAAGTTGAGAAGGCCCCTTTAGAGTCATATGCTGATATTGGTGGATTAGATGCTCAGATACAAGAGATTAAAGAAGCTGTTGAGTTGCCATTGACTCATCCTGAGCTATATGAGGACATAGGTATTAGGCCTCCTAAAGGTGTAATACTATATGGGGAGCCAGGAACAGGCAAGACTTTGCTTGCAAAGGTGTGTGTTTATTCTTTTTATTCCCCTTTAAAATTTGCTGCCAAGTCGTTCAATGGCTCTATAACTTATCCTGTTAGAAATTAATCAGACTAGCTTTTTTAGATTACCTATTCAACTTGAAGATCAATTTCTAATTGGATATGTATATATACACCTAAGTTGACTTCATCCTTGTGTCCTATAAATGACCACTCTTTATTAGAACTACTATGTATAGCTTCAATTTTTCTTGACTTTGTAAACTGCATTTTCCGTCTTTTAGGCAGTGGCGAACTCAACTTCTGCAACTTTCTTGCGTGTTGTTGGAAGTGAACTCATCCAGAAATACTTGGGAGATGGGCCAAAGTTAGTGAGGGAACTCTTCAGGGTTGCTGATGATCTCTCACCTTCAATTGTTTTTATTGATGAGATCGATGCAGTCGGCACGAAAAGGTCGGTTGTCTAACATACATATTCTAGAAGAAGATTGTGTTGTTCTGAATTCTGATCCATACTCCCTGCAGGTATGATGCTCACTCTGGAGGTGAACGTGAGATCCAGAGAACAATGTTGGAATTACTGAACCAATTAGATGGTTTTGATTCAAGAGGAGATGTTAAAGTGATACTTGCTACGAACAGAATTGAAAGTCTTGATCCAGCTTTGCTTCGACCTGGCAGAATAGATAGGAAGATTGAGTTTCCCTTGCCTGACATAAAAACCAGGAGGCGTATTTTTCAGGTGTGTTGACATTTTGGCATGTTAATGTGGAAGATGCACGTTAAATATTCCATTTTCCAGTTTAAGATGACCATGACTATAAAAGTGTTTCTTCTTTATCTAACAAGTAAAACTTGAAAACTCTGACTTGCAGATTCACACATCAAGAATGACATTGGCAGATGATGTCAACTTAGAGGAATTTGTGATGACCAAAGATGAATTCTCTGGTGCTGATATAAAGGCCATATGTACTGAAGCTGGGTTGCTTGCTCTGAGGGAAAGGCGCATGAAGGTAATAGTTGCCTCAGTTTTCTAAGAACTATGATGGGATACAACTTTTCCACCTCTAATGATTGATTAACTTAGTTTCAAAGAATCTGTGGTGGTGTTGGTTTTAAAAATTCACATCTTTAGACTTTGATGAATAATTTTCAAGTTTTTAGACTATCAAACTTCATGAAATTTCGGGTCTATATTGCTAGAGATAATGGATGGGGGCTGAACAGTTTATCTAAGTCGTTTAGTACATCGAGTTGATTAAATGACAGTGAAGTGAGGCTTAAGCTGTTCTTTTGATGTTGTCTTCCACTTCAGGTCACACATGCCGACTTCAAAAAGGCAAAGGAGAAGGTTATGTACAAGAAGAAAGAAGGTGTGCCTGAAGGTTTATATATGTGATGAAGATTATCAGAAGTGTGTTTGAAACTGTTCGAAGAAATGTCTTCTTTCACATTTTGGAGTTGGAAATACTTTCTCCATTATCAAACTTTAAGCAATATATACTTGCTTTTTGATTCTGAAGGTAGTTCTTTGGGTAGCCTTTGTTGGAGATGTGTTTCCAATGTTCTCCAAACTGTTCTTCTCCTAATGATTAGAACTGTAATGCATCAAAATTTTGAGATAATCATATATTTCACCTATATGGTTTACAACATCTTTAACTCGTACTCATGTTTTGAAAATTCAAATGGCTAGATTTCATATATCATCTCTTTCAAATCTTATTGATACTTCTAATTTCATTTTCAGCATTTTTGTAAACCAAAAGTATGAGCGAGTGCTTCAAATAACAGTACTTTTCGTATGGAAAAGTCGTTCCAAATTCAATTTCTAACTTTGTGAGTCGGAGCAAAGTTTTCGGGAGCAACATGATATAAAACGTTCAACTTTCGGTTTGATCATTCAATTGCACTCAGTCAAAAACATGACTTCCTACAAACTATTGAGCCTAGAAAGCATTAAACACACGAGAGTTTGAATACACAAACACAGCGTTTAAAAAGAGGAAAAGACGAGAAGACCATACATCATTGCTAAACTTGTCAAATCTATCACCATTACACATTTCAGCTAAACGCTTGGATGGTCTCTCCCCCAGCTTACTTCATTCCGAGAAGAAGTGTCGTTTCCACATCCTTGATTCCAGCATCTGCTGAGCTGAGTACTTAAGGTAAGGGGGCAGAAATTCCCCGTTGATTATACGGATGTCTTCGAACTAGTGTTTTCTGTCCTCCATCCGTGATTGCTGGGGCTAGGAGCCAATGATCGATGATATCTACCAACACAGAAACGGGAATAAATGCTCAAGGAAAACAAAATCATTTATCTGACATGCTTGTAACAACCGCGTCCCAAGTAGTAGAAGAACGTAAATATATGAGAACACTTTAACTGAAAATAATACCTTGCTGCTGAATATGCGAAATGCTTCGTCTTCCATAGCTCTATCAAGTTCCTAATGAGAACAATTAATATAACCAAATTAAGCCAACAACTTTAATTATTGATGTTCACATTCACTAGAATTTGCTGGTAAGTATAATGGGGCAATATTTTGTTATAAGAGTCAAATTTCCCACGTAATGGAACATGAAGACAACTCACGGTTTCTGGATCCGGTGAACTACCAATGGCACAGATGAGCTTCTGAAGGCTTTCATCATTCAAAGTATTGCGTATTTCTGAGGAAGAAGCTGTTGAAAGATGCACAAGGATAAGTGGTAAAAAACCCAGATTGTAGGTTCATTAATGTCCTAATAACAAGCTACAAAGTTATTCTTAACACACAAATAAAACCGTGATAAACAAACAGAGTTTCCCTGCCTAGCTTCTCATCGACATAGAAATTGTTAAATTGTTCAAACTTTAAACCCCCTCAAAAAATATTTTACCATCCAACGGCAGTTCAGCCATACAAATGTTTCAAAAGGCTATCTTATCCTAGAATTATCATGTGACCTAATCCTGTAATCATTTCTCACTTCGACAACTGAAGATTTTTTTGTCTCTCATAATCATCATAAATTTTTTATATTTCTCTTACAAAGAATTATAAAGGCATGTCAAGTGTTTTATGGGCCCAAATGACCCATGTATAAATTGAGGTAAATAAGTCAGTAATCATGAATCAATACCGATGGCCTCCAGCTGCGACTTTTCAAGTACTTCACTTTGGTCTTCGACACATATTGGCCTATCTACAAGTGATCCATTAGGAGCAGCTGAAAACAGAGAACAAAAAACTCGGTGAGCAAAAAGAATGCTTGAAGAATGAATGGGGAAAAGAAAGATAATTAACTTCTACAGCACCCAGGAAGGCTAGAATCAGGAAGGAACTCCATAAGACATTTATTCAGCTGTCTACGAATGTGCATTCAGCATGAGAATAGAGTTAGTCTTACTTGATTGGTCCCCTGCAGACACAGGCTTAACACAAGGAACTTCTGCACAAGTGGCACATTACGTAAGACATCATACTAATAGAATAGAACATTAATCACAGAAAGTGAGTAGAATTACAAAAGAAAACCCTATGAACTATTTATTGGAGCCATACATTCAAGTAACATAGCTTAAAAAACGTAACTAATAAGCATTTAACAGATTCCAGACCCTCAAGTTAATATCAATTCATTCTTATAAAAGGTACAAAAAATTTTCCCTCCTTCAAGAAAACAAGGCAACAGCACTGTAGGTTTTGAAGCAAATAGTATTCGTGATCAATTTGGTTGTCTATCCAAACTTTCATTTCTTGATAGTTGTTCTAGAACTAAAGACCATATGAATATGAAACTGCTTACAAAAATTATAACATACAACCCAAATACAACAAGAGTATCCAAGTTTTCAATAACAGTACCTTTGTGTTTCTTGAAACAAACCAGAGAGCAGCTTTGAGAAAAATGAGACGAAAGTGAAGAAAGGTCAGAAAGTTTTCGATCAAAATACACGAAAGTAACATAAAATAAATCCTTTAGTTTGTCTTACTAAGGTGCAAGGCAAAGGGGGCATTTGTATTTGGATGGTGCTTCATTGCAGACCTGACATTGCCGAGGACCCATAGAATGTTCAATTTTCAGTCCCAAATGCTGCAGCGTAATATGGATAAATAAGAAGGCCCACTAAAATTCTGAGATATAACATAACATGTCGATCCAAATCCACACACACACACATTTCATATATAAAAAATTTTCAGAAAAGAGAACTTTCAAGCAGGAAGTGACGACGATAGTTTGCTTCTATCTCAATAATGAAGTTGAAATTCTGTCCGGAGGGTAAGAATTCGCCATTAGAACTAATGCTAGAGCTGTTACATCAACTTAAACTACACTTGATCATTCCACAATCAGAGGCACATTAGCGAAACATGTACCGATATATTATGGATCACTTCAAGTTCAAGCAAACATAGAATCGAAAGGAGGAAATCAGGACAAGAGAAAAGGAAGAAAAAACGAATTCAGCATGTTCTAACCAAACAATCGGACTTCTAACCATGGATTCACAGGCGAATGAGCAGAAACCAGAAGAAAAGCAGAGGCCCTACCGATTTCGGGTTCGAGAAGCGAAATCGCCGGCTCTCAGATCAAGCAACAAATCGATTTGGCGCCTGGCTTCACCGTCCGACGAAGGGTTTTCAGTTTTCTGGACAAAATCGTTATACCGTAATTTTCTTTTTTATAAAAATAATATGTTGTTAAAACCGAAAACTTTAGTTAAAAAAAGGTATCTTAAAATTTTAAATTTCATGTTTAATAAATCTTTAAACGTGTCATTATTTTCAAAAAAAAATTTTAAGTAATATATTTATAAATTTGAAATTTATTGGATAATTTTAAAATTTAAATGATTAATTGAAAATTTAGAGATGAAATAAAGATTTGAAAATTGATGATTTAAATTAATAATTTTTTTTAGAAAAATTTAGTGAAAATGACTCATATGACCTTCCTAAGTTTCCAATGTGCTCAAATAATCCACCTCTCAAAAATTGTTTTGAATGATTCAAATATGTTTTTTCAGAATTGTCAGTGGAAGTAAATGTACCAAACTACCCCTCAATTATAGCGTCAATTCTCGGGCTGAAACGTGATTTTCATGGCCGTAAGCGTGAAAATGATAACTAATTCTCGGGCAAAATCGCATTTTTCCCGCCCGAAAATTGGCCAAAATGCTAATTTTGGGTTGTTTATGGGCGAGAATTTGCGAGAAGTTAGGATGACTTACAATGAATTCTCAGCTGTTAACTGGTATTATTTCGCCCTAGAATTTAAGGTTTTCCAATTAATCAAACAACCACCTCTCTCATCTGTGCACTTCAGCAAACCAATCTTCTTCATCTGTGCAATTCGTACTCAGATTTGTAGATAACAAAAAGAATATTGTACATTGAAAGTAACTCTTCCATCTGACCACACAGTTTGTTTGTAGCTGAGTAAGATTTCTACACAAACGAGGTAGGTGAAATGTCATTTACAAAGAATGGTCTTTTTTGTGTTTTTCGTCTCTGAAGTCGCACGTTTATATGTCTACCCTTTTGTTTTTTGTTTATTTGGAAACGTTTGAATGCACCTTTGTGGTTTTTATTCTTCCTTAGAGAACGACATGTTTGGGCATGTACTATCTGTATTTTTCCATGATTCTCGGGCGAAGTTAGGGTTATTCAAGGTCGAAAATGACAATATAATATGAGTTTCGGGCAAGAATCATATTGTATACGGGCATGAATTCTCGCTCGAACAACAATACCTTCCGCCCGAGAACGTCGAAAATTTTGAATTTCGAATTTCGAATTCTTCTCTTTCCACATGCAGGATGCCTCGCCTATTTGTTAACTATGGTGGTAGTTGGAATGAGTCACAATTTCTATATGAAGGTGGAATTATGGGAGGTTTGGATGTGGACAACTCTATAACTTATGAGGGAGCTCCTTAGTGTTATGTTCAGCCTTACCCGAATAGATCCGGATCGGTTCAAAATCTTGATACACTGTGTATATAAGTTCAATCTGCAGTACCAGGTTCCGAAGAATTACATCTTTGATGACCATAGCCTTAGATTTTTTTTAAGAGGCCCTCCACTTCCTTCCGAAGTCTCATTGTATGTATCTGTCGTACCGAAGGAAATACATGGCAGTGGAAGCAGTTCAATGAATCATAACATTCCAAAAGCAGAAGCATTTCAATCATTTCCCCACCAGTTAGGGCAGACCGTTCCGTATTATGCTTCATCGTTTCCTTTTGATTCCACGCTCCCAAACTCATCATGTTTTGTCCCATCAATGACGTCGCTGACGGACAATGTAATCCCATGTAACTTGGGTGACGATGAAACAAACTATTACAGTCAATGGGACGATAACGATGAGAACGACGTGGAGTACGAGTACGAGGCCGAGGATGATGACAACCACGATACTGAATTCGATTATGATGTTGATTTTGACAACGAGGAGGAAGTAGACCCAGTGGATGTAGCCGGTCCATCATCAGACCCCTTGACCGAAGTGCACGTGGTCAGTACGAATGCACCGTGTGCAACCAGTCAAGCTTCTTGCTCAAGGGAAATTGCTAGGACAGGTGATGAAGTTTGTTCGTCAACGGTATTGCGGTAGGGAGTACTTTTCGATCGAAAGAAGATTTGCAGTTCAAACTCTTGGTGTACGCAATGAAGATGAATTTTGAATATCGCGTGAAGAAGTCGACAAAAAGTTTGTACACTGTCGGATGCATTGAGGATGGGTGCAAATGGAGCCTACGTTCAAGGAAAATTAAAGGTTCAGATACTTTTCTTATCTCTACATTCTATGAAGTTCACAGTTGCACTCGTGAGGTAATGAAACATGACCACCAGCAAGCTCGAAGTCGTGTAGTGGGTCAGATTATAAAGTCCACATTTAAGGATGTAAGTCGACGTTATAAACCGAAGGATATTGTTAATGACATGCGGAAAAATTATGCTGTTAACATCCGATATGGAAAGGCGTGGCGTGTGAGAGAGAGGGCTTTGGAACTACTAATGGGATCGCCGAAGAAGTCGTACACTCTTTTGCGTAAATACGGTGAGGCGTTGAAATCGGTGAACCCGGACACGGTATTTTCATTGAAGTTGGAGGACGATAAATATTTCCAATATGCATTCATGGCCCTAGGCTGCTCTATCCGGGGGTTTAGAAGTTGCATTCGCGCCATACTTGTCATCGACGGTGCACATCTGAAGGGAAAATATAAAGGTGTGATATTGATAGCCTCCTCTGTTGATGGTAATAATCAGATATATCCAACCAATCCTTAAACGAACCCGAAAAAAAAAACTATTTCTGTCAACTTTCTCGGGGCAATGTTCGGGCGAAGTCGTGCACGAGAATTTTAGCAGTATTAATGAACTCGAACCTTTCGCTCGGGAATCATTAATCCTGTAAAAATTCTCGTGGACTTTCCTAGGCGAGAACGGGCCCCGAGAATTTTCCCAGATCCTACATCTCCCACAATTTCAATTTAGCTCGCCTGAAATGCCCCGGGAATTTAGAGTGCTATTTATTGTCTGGAAAAATTCTCGGGGCATTTCAGGCGAAATAAATAAAAAAGGATTTCCAACACACCATGGCCGAAATGCCCCGAGAATTTATCCAGTCGATAAATAATACTCCGACTGCATATCCACCATGCTCGAAAGACCCCGAGAATTCATAATTTCCCAAATCCGTAATCTAATTTGCCCGAAAACCACCGAGAAATCATCAAATTCTTAAGAACACACTCCAAAACGTTGGCAATCCTAAACTATTTCGCCCGAAACCCACCGAGAATTCTCCAGATTCTAAACAATCGAAGCCTAACCCACTTCCTACGAAATAACCCCGAGAATACCTCCCATTCGAAAAACCCACAACGACAGTCATCTTCAACCTCCCATACACCTCAAACAACCAGAAATCGGTACAAATACTCGCCGGAAACTAAAACCCCTAAAACTTTAAGATGAAATCGATGGAAAAAAACGAAATCGAAAAGGAAAACAAGAAATAAACAAAATGAAATTGAACCTTCAATGTCCACGCTACTTTCAAAACGAAATGGAACGTCTAATCGAAGCTTTCTGTGTTGAAGGGAACGGAGGGAATCGAAAAGGAGAAGAAGAAGACGAAGGAAAACGAACGGGAAAAGATAGAGGGAGAAAGGCCAAAGGTTAGTTGTTTTTACTTCAAGGGTACAAATGTATTTTTTTTTTAATTAATTAAAATAATAAAGTAGGTAACTGAAAAAATTTTAGAGGGCAGGATTATTTGAGCAAAATAGAAACCTGGGAGGGTCATATGTGTCATTTTCCCAAAAATTTAACTTAAAAATTATTATTTAGAATTAGTAATTGTTACAGCCCACTCATGAATTCTGTTTCTTTAGAAGCAATTGTGTAGTCTACTTAATAATTAATATAGTTTAGTTTGTTAGTCGAATTAATTTAAATAATTTATTCAAAATTTACTTAAACTACAACATCATGTCCAAAGGTCAGCAGTTGATTGAGCTAATGTAAACCTGACCTAATCATCTATTAGATTGAAGAGGAATTGTTGGTTAAATTCTATATGTGTTTCCAAATTTTTACATATTTAGATTTCCATATTTTTTTCTTTTTATTAATCTCAGATTTGCCCACAATTAATACTTTTTGATTTAATGATATTTTTTTATTTAAATAATTAGATTTAATATTTACTCAAACTAGTCCGTTTGGTATATATATTATATGCATCAGTCTTCCTCTCTGTATCTGTCTTGTCTTCTTCTTCATGCTACTCCCTTCTTCAACTGTCTTCTCCGACAACGAGTAACAATCTGGTGGCGACCTCTCCGCCACGACCCACATGCAGCAGCGCGGCTTTGAGCAACAAAGACAGACAACGGAACCACTTAGAATGACGGTTGACAACGAGACCACTTTGGAATGCATTCAGCACGGCGTGAGGATTTTTAGAGATTTGTGGGTTTCAAATAAATAGAAAAGAAGGAATCGTGTATATTTGAGAGAGATATTAGGGATTTGGGGTTTTCAAAAAAATGGGAAACTGAAGCTCTGTAACTTTTAGAGTTTTGATTTTATGATTTTGTATTTTTTTAATTAAATATGTATTACAAAGGACTCATTGGTAATTTCCTATGGACTCCATCTATAAAATTAATCTTAGACAATATTATAAATTCTGAATAGTTTAGCCAATTTTATAATTTGAATTCTTAAATTAACTAGTCGTGTACTTAATTTTATGTAAAATGAGGAATATGAAATGGAAAATTGAGATCATATAAAATATGAAACAAGTTGCGTGCAAATATGATTTGTTTATATCTTTTTGTAAAATGAAGATAATATTATTTATATGAAGCAGGTTACTTGGTAAAATGATTTGGATGTTTTTAAAATAGAACTATTGGTATTTAATTAACTTTTTTTTTTTAATACAATATTGTGGAGGTGGGGTTCGAACTCATGACCTTCTGGCCAGACATAGGTGCCTTAACCATTTGAGCTATGCTCGATTTGGCACTATTGGTATCGTTTTATATGAATATCCCATGATCTTTAATGAATATCCAAAATATGTTGAAAAAAATATGGGACACGTGGATGATGGGGCAACCAATTTGTAGACATTACAATATTGTGGACAAAAATAAAATATCACAGATAATGTGGATTATCAACAAATTTATGGGAAAAACTCCTTTATTTTATCTCGTGGATCAAAAAAAGAAAAGATCAATAAATATGATGCAGAGTAGATATAACAACTTTTCTTTGTTCCCAACTCCAATAAATCAAATCAAGTGATTTGGGATTAAGAACTTAATTATTTAGTAATTCATACAAACCATATGACATATTTCACAATGTTTAACTCAATAATTGTGAATATAAGAAAAGGCTCAAAGTTGGACTAAAGAGGGCAAATAATCTTATAATTAAAGATCACAAGTGAAAAACTAACATTATAAAAACCTAAAGAAAAAAAAAATTAAATGATGTAATTTGAAAAACTAACCATGTGCTTGACAAATAAACAAATATCAAAATTTAGATTGAATATGTGTTAAATACCTATTATCTAGCTTGGTCACTCCAAATTAAATCTCTTTGTTCACATTTGTCTTCTCCTTACCAGCCTTGTCTTCTTTCTTCCTCTGCTCTTCCAATACTCTAACCAAAGACAAAAGAAAACCATGTGAGATGAAATAATATAATCCACATAGAAGAGTTCCAAACAGGTGATTGCAAATGCAAGAAAATTCCATCAACAGCGAAGTTTCCCACAGCTCAGGAATTCTCACCTTTCTTCTAAGAAACTCACCATGCAACAAAAATGTTTCAATGACTAATTTTCATAAGATACTGTCTCTACTCTCAGTTAGCTGATCTGTAGGGTGTTGTTATCTGAGAGTTTCCATATCATCATGTGCAAAAACTCAAACAAATCACAAGAAAGAGGAGGAGAAAAAGATGCAAAATGAGCTGTTGATCTCGTTTGATGATGGTATGAACTATGCATAATTTACATGTCAATCTGTGTTGTGTTGTAATCAAACTCTACCTACTAAAGAAACTAAGCCGAAACCATATACTGCCTCTCTTACGCTACAAAATTTTGCAGGCATGTAGAGCCTGTCTAGGAGCTTCATCCAATTTCAACCTGCAATCAGACAGAGTTAAGATTAGACTAACTTAACCGCGTCCACGGTACAAGGAATAAATAAATAAAGGTACGACATTTAAAGAGATCATGTTCCTATCTGTTGTGCTTCTGTGATCCTTTTGAGCACCAAATAGAATAAGAAAAATATTCAGATTAAAGCTTACATGGATCCATGGTGCGGTTCCCTGATTTGTAATTTTCAATGTTTTCAAGTCCACTACGGCTATTCGTATGTTGATTGTGGGTTCCTGGTGGGGCTGCTGGTTGATTCTGTGAAAGAATTTGAGTGTCAAAAATATGCACTTAATGTTTTAATTGGAAGGTTTGAGGTCTAACAGAGAGATTAGAGGCTAGATACCTGTGGGGAACGCTGTGATACTGCTGCTGGCACCTGCATCTGTTGAGAACCAAGAAACTGCTGATAACCATCGAGTGAACTTGACATCCTTGACTGGTTTATATTTTGCATTCCTGGTGAGCTGTGCATAGGATCTGACTGATTTGTTCCTTGGATTCTGGATGGATCATTACTGGCAATATGCGCCATATGAAAGGCTGCAAAAGGGAAAGTTGGTCCAAGTTGAGCAGCTCCAGCTTGCCTTGGAAACGTCGATCCAGCTAACATATTAGGATATGGCATCATAGGGCGGTTCGCACTTGTTTCCATGCCCATTCCCATTCCAAGTCCCATTCCCATTGGTGGCACAAATTGTTGCATACCAGGAAACATCATAGGCAACATACCACATCCCATGGACATCATCTGCATAGAAACTGGTCAATATTTGTATTACTTATTGTGCATGCTGCATCACGTTTGTTATACTACAACCGTTCATTTCGAGGACAGGAAGAGAGGGGTGGGAGGGTTTAAAAACCTCTGTTTCATGTAAACAAATTTTCTTTAAATATCACAAGGGGATTACTGTTGCCAGATTAAGAAGGGACCATGCAGCGAGAAAAGAGAGTAGAATGGTCCCGCAGTGAGGAAGGTCAAGGAGCAGGGTTCACGGTGGTTGCTAGCCTGAGTAAGTCTTCATTAGTTAGTTATGTTGTTAATAATCAAGCTGAATGTAGGGGAAATGACCAATCCAACTTTCCAATACAAGCTTTACACACAGAAGAAAATTAACTTGCTGCTCGAACAGAAAATAAGGCTAAGGGTAAAAGGGAAAGCAGAATTGAACACAGAGTTTGGAGTGGTTTGGCAATTAGCCTACATCCACTTACGGCAGCCATTCTTACTATCTTCAAGGTTTTCTACAGAGAGCTGACAAAATCAACAGAAAGAAAGAAAGATTAGAATTCCTCTCTTAAGTCACTCTAAACTAACGAATGCCTTTCATTAACCATTGAGAAAGACCTTTAACTAACACAATAACAAATCGCTAGGTGGTTCTGACTGAATGCCCATCTGGACCTTTCAAAAATGACATACGTTAACAAGTTATATAGAGAGAAGGGCTGCAGGGTAGAATTTAACCAAGGTTTTTTATCAGGAAATTATTGAGTATTTAGAAGAAAACTCCAACATCATTGGATGGGCAGGCTCGGGGGAACCTTGCAATTTTTCTTCCCTGAACTTTGTATTGGCATTGTTGATGTTTACAAAAATTTTGCCTAGCTAGAAAACTCTTATGCCATCCTGAAACATGGATGCTATAAAATCAGTGGAGTATTTTGTTTCAACCTTCGAGGAGACAGGAGAATGAAATCACAACTGAAAAAGTTGGGATATTGTAGACAACTAAACCTTATTGAATTTCAACACTTTAAACTTCCAGCTGTCAAGTTTGAAAACTCTCCCACCGTACATTTTGATTCAAACTGCATCCTATATCAATTTTAGCTCAAAAAATTATGTTAAAATGAAATTAAACTACATCCGCTCCTATTTTCATAACGTTTTCATACCTAATATATTCTAACTTCTATAACAAAATGCATTTCACCTAAATTTTATCAAGAGAGAAACAACTACCGCTCTATTGTACGTCCACAGTGTACAGAGAGTCATTAAATCAAATTTGATATTTTGCACAAATGCAATGGAGAATAAAATAGGCCGATCTTCTTTCCCACTTTATAATTGGGTTGTCAAATGAAGTTCTCCAGATTCTATGTGTAAATAATTACGCCAATGCATGTCTCATCCCCACTCTGTTGTATTACAATTATGCATAAGGCATTGGAAAGATGTTGACTTCTAGTGAGAAAGCATTAGTGGTGTGCAGTGAAAAATGCTGGAACCGTGCAATGCAACTTTGAGTAAACGGTTATGCTAAATGGAAACTATGCATCGTAATAGTAGGAAAATGCATGCCCAATGTGACCTTTTAGTAAACACGATAGAGACAACCAACCTGCACTTGCAACTGAAGAGACTTCAAGTATTCAATTGCCTCGTCCAACATTGAAGCTTTATCTGCCTGAAACTTGAGAAAATATTTAACACATAAAAATGGGAAGAAATGATTTGATCGATCTACGAACTGATTTCAGGGTGGAAAATTATCTCGCCAATTCAATATGCACCTTGTTACCCCGTGGTATGAGCTCCTGCAAAGCCTTCATCTTTTCGTTTATCCTATCTCTTCTTTTCTGCAACGGGAGGGATGCAATATTCCATAAATAGAAGGATAACAACAAAACAGATGAAGCCAAACCATGCTTTATGATTAAACGAAGTGCTAAAAACAGAAAATACTCACTCGCTCTGAGAGATTATGGACCTCAGCAGCACGAGATCTTTTTGTAGAGGTTGGTACACGAACTTGCTTCTTTGCATCAGAAGTTTCGAATTCAACGTCCTTTGAAAAAATGTTTAAAAGTAAAAATTCTAATGAGTCCATAAAAAGCTAGAAAATGGCACGAATGAAGGAGCACCATCAGGCGTCAGCGTCAGAATTTACAGAAGCACGCAAGAATTCGACTCGAAGCACAATATTTCAGAACCACCAATTGAACTTGGAACCAAAATTCAATGCAATGGATACCTACATATGCACACCCACTTACCTTTTTCATCCGGTTCTTAAGGTACATATCGCAAATGCCTAAAAATTAAGGACGTCCGAAAAATCTTCTTAAGAAATTTTAACTAAATTGAATAACACCAAATTAACCCAGTTCGTAGCAGGACTCACCGTGCTATGGCATTGGTATTCAGGATCATCCTTCTCTTTTCCTTTCCGCTTCCGGTCCTCGAGACTCGTCGTCCTTCGAATTGTCGGTTCTGCGCTGGACGTAGCCGCTACTCCACCACCGCTCATGAGCCTGCAGGCTAAACCACCGCTTGATGCGTCGGCTATAGCCGTCCGCCGTAATTCCGAAGCCGGAGATTCCCTTACTGTGCTCCTCGAACTCGACGGCCCAGATTCAACGCTCCGTGTGTACCTCGAGAAGAGTCCGAAACTATTTGTGTTCATTTCCGATTCCGTTGTTCTCATCGGTGGTATTGGCGGCCTAGCAATCATCGTTGAGGTCGCCGTCGTAGACATCGGCGTCACCGGTCGGAACTCCATGCCATAACTAGTACGAACTTGTGCAGTGACGCTGGCGTTCTGCTCAATACTCTGAGGCTGCGTAGTATAGACGAGTTGATCGCAGAAACTATGGTCCAATGGAGGTTCTTCATCGAGAGGATATTGAAGCCACGAAACCATTTCGTCCTCCTGCATGAAGAGTTCCGGTTTCTCCTCTTGATGCAAAGCTCGAATATCTCTGTTCCTGATTTGCTCCGCGGTTACTGTAGTGCCGTTAGATTTCGTCCCAGAATTCTGGGTCTGATTCTGCATTACCACCTGCCGGTTCTTCCAAACAAGTTCTATAACCTCCCCGTCTGACCTGCTTTTAAAATCCAAAAAACCGACCTCGTATCCGATATCCATGAAATTAACCTCGAAACCGGAGACAAATAAATAAATACAAGAAACAAAAACACTCACATGGAAGATGCCTTGCAGAGCGATGGCGCGGAAGAAGTAGGAAGCGAGAAATCGTCGTCCGTCTCGAAATCAGGAACGCAGTGATTCATCTTCTTCTTTAATCTCTTGGACAATCAAAGAAACCAACTACCGGCTCAATCAATCATTAGCTGAGACTTTGAAAGATGAAACCAACGGTGGCAGCAAGAGGTCGAAGCCGTACGTTCAGCCGGTGATTATGACTCCTGACGCTCGCTCTGAAAAGTGAGACCGCATAAATAAATAAAAACAGAACAAAACTGATCATCAATAGTCGGTGGAACTAAATTCCATAATCAACAAAACATTTTCCAATTCCTTGAAACTCAGTGTCCAAATTGGTCTCGAGAGTTCTAATTTCAGCCGTTCATCGCAGATCCAATTGTCGATTGTCCTTCATGAGAGCTCAAATTTGCGCGACGCTGTAATTGAAGAAAGAGAATGCAGAAAAAGAAGGACTGGTTCTGGTTGGGCCTTTTTGCTTGTCGTGTGAATGTGAACAGCCGAACGGCCTTGTTCCAGGATAAGCTCTCTCTCTCTCTCTCTCTCTCTCTCTCTCTCTCTCTCTCTCTCTCTCTCTCTCTGCTGCGCAGAAGGGCAAAAAGACGAGTTGAGGTTTTGACGGTTATGCGCCCAAATCAATGTACTCTCTTTCCCGAAGTCGAGCTTTCCAAAATATTGCTATTTTATTATTCTTTTTATTATATTAAATTGGGAAATCATTATGAGCTAACAGCGCACAGCAACTACCGGATAAGCTTTTTTTTCCTTTTGGTATCCGAACAATTAGTTTCTTTTCTTTATACATTAAATAGATCGTTCCCATATTCTTTACGCATTATTTTCATTTCTAAATTCTGTATTTATTTCGATTTAGATTCTTAATTTTTAGATTCAATACCACGTTGGTTGCAGTAAAAAAAAACCTAATATCACGTCATAAACATAGAAATCAAATAGACGTAAAATTGTCAAAACCAGCATATTACCTCTCACTAAGAGGTTATAAATTTAATCTCTCATCTCTCCCTGTTGTACTAAAAAAATTAAATAAAAATAAATATGAAATTGATATATAGAATATAGATATCAAACCAACATAAATTAAAAATTTGACTACGTAATATAATAATTTACAGATAAATTAAAGTGTCCATTTTATAATTTAATCAAATGTGTTTTTAGTCATTTAGGTAAAGATCAACATATCTAGTTGAACCCTAATTTAAATCGTCCAACTGCTTTTTTTTTTTTTTTTTGAAAAGAACTGCCTAATCTATTAACCATGACCTATCCAGTCATCTTGCCATATTAGATTAATTCAATAAAAAAATTATGGAACAGTCGTGCCACATCACTCCATAAATGGATTTTTTCTTTAGTTCAAGGAAGAAGTTGTAGTAGAGTTTAATACTTTAACCCAGTGAACTTGGTATTTCAAAATTTAGTTAGAAACTTTTTTATTTAAACATTATTTTCATTTTGTATTCTCATATTTGATTTATTTTATCACTTTATTTACAAAACGTCTATTTTGATCCATGTACTTTCAACTTTTGTACATCTTAATCCATATACTTTCAAAACGTTTCTATTTTATCTACATATTTTTAAAAAGTGACCAATTTAATTCTTATTGATAAAAATTTAACACAAGTTCTATACACAATAAAAATTCTTTAATACAAAGTTATGGTTACATTTTATCATATTAAAATTACGATTGAAATAAATGAGATAAAAATTAGAATGAATGTACTAAAATGGTAACTTTTTAAGAGTGCAAGGACCAAAAGACAAAAAAAAATAGGCAGAACCTACATTAATTAAAATAAACCAAAACTAAAATTACCTGAGTCAGAACAATACTTAAAGCAATTGCTTTCTTTTTTAATTCAGGAATTAAATAAAGATAACACGCCATCCTATCATATTAGCCTAATATATATATATATATATATATATTTTGGGGAAAAAAACCATATAATATAGAGAGAGAGAGAGAGAGTATGATTATATTTTGATTTGTTCCAACTGTTCCGGTGCTTGGCGGAGCAAAGGTGTAATTAATGAAGTGGAGTATGGATGGTCCAGGATGAAGTAAATAAGTGATGTGGGAAATTAGACGGGGACCAGGGGCGGATGCATGTGGTCCCAGAAAGGGAGCGATGCAGAGGATAATTATTGGTGGGGCCCGGGGGACAGTAGTTTTTTTAGCAGAAAAAAATGTATGGGAAGATTACCTAAATACAGAGACAGGGAATTGGGAGGGAGGTGCCCTATTAAAATTCAGGACCCCCTTGCCGCCATTTCTGACCAATCATATAATTGTCACAAAAACAAAACTTAGTTGCTTCAATTTCTTAAATTTCAAAAAAAAAATGAAAAAAGAAAAAATTCAATAAATACTTGGTTTTCTCCTATTAACTTTCTCTTCCAAACCCAAATTGAGTTTTTTTTTTAAAATAATAATAAATTGTCATATATATAGTAAACATGAATATAGCTCAACTGGTTTAGATACAAATATGTGAAATGCTTATTTGTTAATTTAAATATTTGTTGCAAATGTTTATATTTTTTATAAGTTTTTCATAAATATTTATGGACATCGACATTTTAAGATATTTCCATCGACATTTTCATGAGCATCAACCTTTAAAACCTCATCTTTAGGGTGATTCACTTTGGCAAAAGAATTGTATACAATTTGAGTTTTTAGAAAGCTGAATTTATGAAACTTGGTAGTTGATTTATTCTTTTATAATTCTTAAAAGTTTTAGATTTCATTGAGTTTATAAAGTTTGTCCATCAATATTTTCATCATTTAAGTAAGCAAACTTAATACAGGTTATGCTTTAAAATGAGATTAATTCAAAATTAAAGTACTTGTTAAAAATGTCTATTTAATTTTTTTCATGAACTTTTGATCGATAATATATATCTTAACTAGTTGAGTTAGGTTGAAACGGACTATTTTTTTTTTTAGAAATCAGTGTAAATTTGAATATTTAAATCATCTTAGTTTCTGTTTTTTTTATATAAATAATTATTTATGAAATTCATGTGATATGACATAAATTACATGAAGTCATTGAAGCGATATTTAATTATATCATTTATATGAATGTGATGATGTCATTTATATGATAGATGAAATGACTCTCACTCTAAATAATCATATTCTAAATTATTGAATTGATAATTAATATAGGATCATAGGACTAGATTTCCCAGTCATTTTCAATCAAAGATTTTCAGTATTATATAACTTTTTAAATAATATTGGGTAAGTTATTTTAGAAATATTACCATTACACCATATTATATAATTTTAGGAAAGAAATCCATTTATTGTTTTTTTAAGAAAATATTTTCTGCAAATATTATCTATAGAATTATATTATTATTATTATTATTATTAGTTAAAAAAAGGGATGAAAATAAAACAAAAAAAATTTGTCGTTTAGCTAACTCTTGAAATAATCACAAACTTGATGATTGGATAGACATCATTAGTTACTCTATAATTTGCTCCAACAATCATTGTTGTTACACTTTTAAGTGTAAAATGAGAACTGATGGAAATTTATGGGAGACAAAAACATACATATATGATTAATTTGATTAGTTATCTTAAATGGTCAAAATTTAATAAGAAATTAGTATCATATGTATATATATGTATAATTACTCTTCTATAAAATTTTCCTAACTCCGCTGCCCTAGATTTATATAACTCGAAACAAATAAATAACCTATTCTTGATGTATAAATATTTTAAGTTATAGATTCGTTAATTGCACATATATACATAAAAGTTTTCAATTTAAAAATTAACGAAAAGAAATTTGTTAAAAATGTGAGTTAATAAATCCATTAAATTTTGTGGCATAATACCTACTTGAGCTCTAATTAACAAAAATATTTGCTCTTATTCTTATTTTTCCTAATAATTTAAATTTTACCTTTGCAAAAAAAATAATTTAAAATTTGAACTTTGATAATTGCAGTGGACTTTTTAACCAACTAATTTTGCTATAATCAATCTAACCATAATTTTCAACAAATTGTCACTTAGCGGCAGCGCCAATAATCAAATCAGATCATTACAAAAAGAGTAGGATTACCAAGCATATTTTCTATTTTTTATCAAAGGAATTGTATTCCTTTTTCCATTTGAAAGTCAACCCCACAACCCATTTTGGAGAAAGAACAAATAAAGAGAAGGAAAACAAGAGTAGAGAATGAAGAGAATAACAATTGATATTTTTTTTTTCAATATCGCGGAGATTTTGGATAAGACAAGTTACAATATTTTTCATTATTCTTACCATGATAGAACAGAAGATCAGAGGTTCGAATATTTATCTTCGATATTTAACTAAACAAAAAAAATCTATCAATTCTTTCTTTATTTTAATGAAAAATCAGTTTTTTTTTTGTGTAAAAATTTATTTAAACACCGCTATCATTCAAATATGTAGTATTATCTATTTACAGTCGAAAAAATCAAAAGAATTAAAAGATTGAATCACGTGAACACGATGAGTATGAGTGGATTTGATAGTATCCACATGTATATTCGAGCATTCCAATAAATGTGGAGGGAAATATTTATTCCTATTTTTTCTTTCCTATGCCATATTACATTTGAGATCCAATTCTGATTCTTTTATTGAAAATAACCTAAATAAAGCAAATATCCTAAGTATTTCAATCTTAATTTTTGTAAAGAGGGGGAATATATATGAGGTACTTAAGTTTTAACTTTTATATCATTTTAATTATCATTTATTTAATTTTAGAGTATTTTGAGAATTTAAATAGGTTTTAAAATAAAATTTAAAAAATTACAAAGATTGTACTATAGTAATTTCACATTACAAGAAGTGGGCCGAAATTCTTTTCTTATAATTCTTGGTTGGAAAATGAAAAAAAAAAAAAAAGAAAACCAATTCTAAAATCATGGAGAAATTTGAAAACAAAAAATCAGAGTGTAAGTTTGAAGACTTACAAAGACAAAGAAGAAAGTTAAATGAAAAATGGAGGAGGAAAAAAAAGTTCAAAATTTTAATATATATATATTTAAAAAATTTGTAACAACTTTCCATTTTTTTTTAACAAAGCATAAATTTAACCTTTTTTAATGTATTTTAACCCAACATTCAGATTTAATTGATTTTAATTATGCTGCATTTATAAAATTATTTTAAACGTACTGCTATATTTGAACATATATTTTTTATATAGTCACAATTTTTTTTTCTTCCTGGCAAGAATTTATCTCGCCGCACATGAAAATATTTAACGAACTAATATTATATATGCAAAATATGGGACTGAAAGACAAGATATATTATTTAATAAAACAACCCATGCATCCATTTGCTCAAAGTAATTGATCACAAGAAAAATAAAATAAAGGATGCTGCAGATTCAATATATTAAATTTCATGTATGATGTTTCATTAATAATTATTTTATTATTAATATTCTATAAATAAAACATATATATTATATATATTTGATCAAAATGTCACAAATTTAAATCTTAGTTCTATAAGTGGTTAAATTCAAGAAAATAAAAAGACTCCTTAAAAGAGTTTAAAAATACCTTAAATAATAAGAAATATTATTTTAAATAAATTCATTTTGATTTACGTAATAATGTATTATTTATCTGTCGGTATTTTTAACAATATTTTCATTTATCCGTAGGTTCAATACGAATATAGTAAAAAGTAATAAAAAAAGGACGAATGTAGTAAATAAAAACACAAGAAGTAAAAGGGACTATGATGGGATATAAGTCTCAAAATTATAAGTTGAATAATATAAATCTAACATAAAAAAAATTGCATAATCCAACAAAAATAGTGGGTGGATTTTGTATCAATCACATGTTATATACAGATGCAATGTCTCCCAATATTGCAGCATCATGGTATGAGTGACTTATTTTATTTTCATTATTCCAAATATCATCGTTTTCCAAATTATTCACATCATGTGGTATAAATAACGGTCGGAAGAGGTGAGATTATAAACGGTCAAGATCGCGAGCCTAGATAAGTGTAATGGAATTGAGAGCAGAGGATAAAAATAATGGGGGGATTTTGAATAGTGGACTTTGGAAATCCTGCAGACGTGGCAAGTGAAGAGCATGCCATGTTGGCCAGTCAAGAGACAATAAGTGAGATCCCACTAATCCTCCACGTGGCAAAGTTATTTAATGGGCAATGATTTGGTGGGATCAAGTCCACCGAGAAAAATAAATCAATCGAACTTATTTTTTTACCGTCTTATTAAATAAAAATATTAGTTTTATAATGAATTTGATCTTTTTAAAATACAACAACATGTGAGTATGAAAATTCGAATCAAGATTTTTGATTGTGAGATATATGTCTTAATTAATGGTCCGTTAAACCATGCTTGAAATCAAAGTTGAAGTTGATAAATTTTCAAATAGTTAAAATATATATCATTGACTAAAAGATTAAAAATATGCATAACACGTGACGGTAAGCAAAGTGGTGGAATTCAAATCAAATGGAGGTTACTAAGGATCCTTTAGGTTAAAATTAGCTGTTGTGAGAATGAATCAGGCTGCTATGTGTTGCGTATTCAGAGAACGCGTCGACTTGGGCGTATCAGGTTGATCCAAGAGAGCCAGTAAGTTCAACCTCGCCGTGTTGTTATCGCCATGAAAGTGGGCCAATAACAGGATTGACTGAACGCAGTCAAAGCCTACAGCCAGACTAACCCTTGCCAATGCAAGAATCTTTGCCTTCTTATCAAATAGATTCAGCGTGGATCACCTTATATGAAAAGGTAAACCACTACATTATATGTTCAAATATCTTCTTAAGTATATTATTTACCTTCGATCATCATTGCTAACTTAGGCATGAGAGTACTCTGCTCTATTTTATAGGTCCCTCCCTTAACAGAAGAGTTAAGTCATTTTATTTAGACAGACGAATTTGTACACTAACATTATCGTTTCTTCTTTACTCTTATTTTATAAGAAAAACATAATTACAATYTAGTTCTTTATTATCATTATTATTATTATTTGTTGAAGAAAGAAGGTAACAATAAACTTTTAAATTCAAAAAGTAAAGTTTTTATGTGAAATTTAATTTTTTTTAACTAAATATTCAAAAAAATTTGTACTATTATTATTTTTTAATATTTATTATGCAAGAATAATAAAATAATTTATGTTTCAAGAAAAATTGAAAACAAAAAAAAAATTGATTCTGTTGTTTCCAAAATTTTTAAACAATTTTTTAAAAAGTTTGAGAAAAAGAAAACATAAATGGTTACCAATTAATACTTAAATTTCTGGATAAAATTGAAAATGARAAGTAAAAAATGAAAATGTTTGGCTTTAAATTAATAAAAATATATACAGCAATTTAATTGACAAATTTGAATTGTTGTAAAGAATCTATTTTTTGAAGCATCATGTTGGCATGAACATATACTATTAGTTAAAACTTTACTTGCCTTCTGAAAGGTCAATTTTTGAATCTCCCAGTTGAAAATTTACTTTTGAAACCTCACCTCTCAAATGGTAATGGTATCCACGGAAAAAAATCTGCGAATATTTTAGCTTTCATATCTTAAGCTATGCTTGCTTTTTATTTTTGTTTTGTTTTCTTTTAGATAATTAGCCATGTTTACTTGGTTATAACTTATAATATAATCAACGTAGATTTTCATGCTCATTGTTTTCTGACTTTATTGTATGATTAAGAACATTTTATTTTTTTTTAAGAACCCTACTAAAATTAAAAATCACTCATGGATTGATTTAATTAGGTGAATTTTTATCCAATTTGAAGTTGACCATCAGTCTAGAAAATTTAACAACAATGTCAATGCTTATCTTTTTCATTATGATTTTAATTCCAAAACAACTCAATAAATGTAACTTTTAGGTTCTTTTTTTTTAATTTAATTTTTTAAGATAACTTTTAGAAATTGTATTTTCACTAGACAAAAATTTTGATCGATTAATATTTGAATGTTCCCGGTCCCTTCCCTTTCACGTTCTATTAACTGGGCCATGGTGACAATTGGGCCCAACCGAGTTCTTCTGTAGTTTTGTTGTTGGTATTTTTCCAATTTCTACACGACAATTTATAGGATAACGAGGTTTATAAACGTATATTGTATAGTCAATTTTTTTTTGAATAAATTGTATAGTCAATTTAATTCAACTCATTAATGCATGTATTTTTAATAAAAAAAATATTGTGTTTGAACTCCAACCCCATACGTTAAATGTACTAAAAAAATTTACAAACTATATTAAATTAGCTTCAGATTAATTCTCACAAGATAGTATTCAAATTACCTATACGTTTTTTTAGTAAACATGTGGATTGGGAGTTCGAACTCATGATCTTTTTGTCAGAGATATATGCCTTAACCACTTGAACTATGTTCGGTTTGACCAAATTATCTATACCTTCTTATTTACCCAAAAGAAACTTTTCATATTAAATTTGCAAAAGACATTTCATTACGGTTGGTTTTACCTTATTTTATAAATTTTTATACCATACAACAATTGATTAGAAAAAAATACATTTATCAAAAGAATATAACACAACGAAAAGTACAAAACAAGTATACAGATTGATAATGTGAAATATTGTATAAGATTAAACAAAATGGAATAGAATTTAGGGGAAAAAAGCGAAAAAATAAATCTCAAACTTTCACCTAATTTAAACTTAAAAAAGAAAGGAAAAAGAAAAGAAAAAGGAGAGAGAATTGACCTTCCCTTCTTAACAAATAGAATTATGACCGCCCATTTGCCTATTCTTCGTTTCTTGACAGAACAATGCTCTAACGGTAATAATGTAAAAAAACTCATTTCGAAACCAGAGAGGGAAAATTACGTTTTTTTGAATAATTTTTAGTTTGGTAATACAGCCTTGCTTGGGGCCGAACAATTTGTTTGGAATACAGAATCAAAAGGGATCAAGGTCGAGGCGACGAACCCTCTCGGCCCTTTTTCTCTCTCCTTTGGGAACTGTTTCTTTTGCTTAGGGTTCGAATTGCCAGACCTTCGATCTTTTTTCCCCCAAACAAAAGAAGGGTCACCCGAGAATCAGAATTAGGGTTCGAGTTCCCACACCTTCGAATTTTCGTCAGGAAATGGCTCGCACTTGTTGCCATGTATCTCTCGCCTTCGTCCTAAAATGCTTCAATTTTCTTCAAGCTTTTG